GTTACTATTATTATTAAAATTATAACTATTTGTATTTCCATCCAGGTAGGTATCAATCTTGAACCGTTCTCATCAGCTAGCTCTCCTACTAAATTGTGTTATATTGGCATGTTTCCCATGACTATATACAAGGGAATGAAACATCTAATATTGACGAGACCTATGAACCTCAGCAAATGCACCTTCCACTATGTCTCCCGGGTGATAACCAACGTATAAGTATCTATATGTATACAGGGTGGCCCACATTTCGTTGTCCCACTATTGTTATCACTAAAAAGATGAGGGTGGTCCTGGATGAACTAAATATTCTATCGAAAATCTGATGTTACCAGATTGAAAAGCATACGGTATAGGAGGAAAAAATGTCTGTGTAGTTTTTATATTTCCTGAGATAAAAGGGCTAGCACCCGAAAACAGCGATCAACATTGTTTTTTTCTCAATTATCTCAAGAACGGCTCATGTTATCTATGATTTTTCCATAAAATTCTTATGGCTCCCAGAATATGCAACTCTTCTTCCATTTAATCAACTTTCTATCTGTAACCATTTCAGAGATAGCAATGTGAGCCACCCTGTTCACAATAGAAAGTATATAGGTTAGATTTATAATTTTCAAATTGATGACCTATTATTATTGTTGATGGATTGTTAAGAGATAACAAGAAAATCATTGAAAATTCGTTTTCATGTTCAGCCGTATATACAGTGTGTTAGAGTTTGCTCCACCCTTGTATATAATTTGGGCGAATTCGAGGGAGATTCACACTTTCTATCTTCAAGTGATACGTTATATGAGAAACTCTCTCTCATTTAACTAAGATATTCATGAAAATCACAAATGATGAAAGATAATATAATATCTGTGAAATATGAATCACGAGGGCAAGAAAAAATTACCTAGTTATGATATTACGGGCACTCAACAGTACATGTAATTTATAAACTTTTTTGCTATATTTTGATATCATAATATATCATATTATTCAATTATTTTATCCGATTTGAAAAAGAATGTCAATTCTCAATTTCAGAGGATTTTCATTTTTCATGCTCTCCTTTTGGATGTTCAACAGATATAATTCAATGTTCGACGTGGCAAATAGCCAGGAAAGTAGTTGTTTTCTGTTGAATATTCAGAATGATATTATATGTGCATATTAGTATATTATGTAACAAGTGTTATAAACGTCCTTTTAGTAACGAGTATTTTAAGCACGAGCGGAGCGAGTGTTTAATAAACGAGTGTCTAGAAGAGTTTATAAACGCGTTACATATACTATGATTTTTCTACGAACTCCGAAAATTACATTAACATACCTGCAATTCCTGCTAACCTACAAATCAATTCGAAAGGAATGGGAATTGAGAACATAATACATGCAACTAGCGAGACACGTATAAGTGATATTGGTTGTAGATGTGTCCAGTCCATTGCTTACTAACCTTTGTTTCACGTTTATTGTCATGCTTAGCGCAGAATAAATAAATTGTTCTCAAAGATGGATGCTGCATTTTCACACTTCTTGGAGATATGCAAGTACCAGAACATTCTCTTCGATTTAACTTAATTTCTTCTACTTTTCGCATATACATTTTTAATGAAGAATTCTGATACAAACGAATATTGTTTGAATAATTCTGATACAAAATTTGAAAATAACAGTTGACAGTTAATACAATTGACAGGCCAGACATGTCTCAAATTACCGAAGCTGTGTTTAATGAACTGCGTTGCCATGGTAATGTGTTTGAGAAATCGTGTTGCCATGGTAACGTGTTTAATATTTCGAATAAATCAAAGATCGACAATCCGTACATATCCGTACGCTAAATGCCATTTTAGTTATGTGAGTAAAAAATAGTATATTATGTAACAAGTGTTATAAACGTCCTTTTAGTAACGAGTAGTTTAAGCACGAGCGGAGCAGAGCGGAGCGAGTGTTTAATAAACGAGTGTCTAGAAGAGTTTATGAACTCGTTACATACTATGATTTTTCTACGAACTCCGAAAATTACATTATTTGACATACCTGCTATTCCTGCTAACCTACAAAACAATTCGAAGGCAATGGGCATTGAAAACATAATACATACAACTGCATGCAACCAGCGAGACACGTATAAGTGATATTGGTTGTAGATCTGTCCAGTCCATTGCTTACTAACCTTTGGGGGAGTGTATAATCTCTGGTTTCACGTTTATTGTCATGCTTAGCGCAGAATGAATAAATTGTTCTCAAAGATGGTTGCTTCATTTTTACACTTCTTGGAGGTATGTGAGTATATGAACATTCTCTTCGATTTCACTCTCGTCTACTTTTCGCATATATTTTTAATGAAGAATTCCGATACAAACGAATATTGTTAAAATAATTCTGATACAAAATATGAAAATAACAATTGACAGTTAATACAATTGACAGGCCAGACATGTCTCGAATTACTGAAGCTGTGTTTAATGAACTGCGTTGCCATGGTGATGTGTTTAAGAAATCGTGTTGCCATGGTAACGTGTTAAATATTTTGAATAAATCACAGATCGACAATCCGTGATTAATCGATCATTTAACGTGGTACATATCCGTACGATAAATGCCATTTTAGTTATGTGAGTAGAAAAACATATTTTTATCTCAAGGAGAATACGAATCCACAACTTCAGAAGATTTTGTTTTCAAATTCGTATCGTGTGTGTTCAATAGTTATTATAATTCAATGTTCTTCGTGGCATGTTGCCAGGAAAAAAGTTGTTTTCTCTTGAATAAACCGAGAAAGAGTTGATGTTTTCATCACATAGAGAATGCGAATTTTCAATGTATCTCTTTATATACAGGGTGATTCACGGTGGATGGCACATTAGACGTTTCTAGAGAACGCAACTCAAAATTATTCTGAAAAGTTGGTGCCTTGGATAATTAGTTGTGTTCTATCGACCTAAAATATTCTCAGCGTTGCGACGTTGCCGCTTATATTGAAAAGTAGCAACAACTTTGATTTTTTCAATGGAACACCCTGTATATCATTCCATTTTCAGATCCATTTTCAGAAGAGCTGATTCCATCCATCTATCACACTTGGGGTCTAGCGGGAATGAAAAAATGGGTGTGAAAAATCGAAATGTTTTCGACTTTAAGAACTTTTTGTGTCGAAACTATTCATAATTGATATAAACACGGTTTCCATGTCCCTATCTTTAGTATTAATGTACTATCAATTGATCTTCAATTGGAATTAATGCAGGGTGGTTCAGACTTGAGATTTTTGAACACCCTGTATCTATTTCAATTAAATATCAATTGATAGTACATGAAAAGTTGAGATGGGGACATGGAAACCGTTTTGATCAATTATGAGTAGTTTCGACACAAAAAATTCTTAAAGTTGAAAAATTTCGATTTTCCACACCCTTTATCTTTATCATTCCCGCTAGACCCCAAGTGTGATAAATCGATGGAATCAGCTCTTCAGGGAGAATCTGAAAATGGAATGATATACAGGGTGTTCTATTGAAAAACCAAAGTTGTTGCTACTTTTCAATATAAGCGGCACCGTCGCAACGCAGAGAATATTTTAGGTCGATAGAACACAACTAATTATCCAAGGCACCAACTTTTCAGAATAATCCTGGGTTGTGTTCTCCAGAAACGTCTAAGTTGCCATTCACCGTGAATCAACCTGTATATATCAATTTTTTATGTTCATATAATTTTGACTGAGAATATTCCTTTTCAATATTTACTCGAACCATTGAGTATTCACAGTAGTGTATATATAATCAACATGTCATGAATATTAGTTACTTCGGCAACTATTGTTTCCGCAATTGATTACAAGCGACAAATGTTGTCATCACTGTGTCAGAGATATTGTCATATCTTGTAACAAGATGTATTATAATTTGTTCGGTTTGAACAAATCTATCAATAATTATATGAAAATGGCTCAATTTAGCAATGATAAGAAAGAAGACATGTTACTGGTGTTTGGAGAACGCAGGACAAATTGTAGGGAAGCGAAAAGAGTTCATCCGCATAGAAGAGTGTTCGATGCAAAAATATTTCAAAGATGTTTGCTTGTGAAAAATCGCGATAACAATGGTCGCCGAAGTAACTGATATTCATGACATTCTTGTGAAAAGCATCTGTAATCGCATTTTTGTCCATCACGAAGCGTTCACCATACAAACCGGTATAACTGAGAAATGACTAAAATAAATCCGAGTAAATAACAAAAAAGTTTATAAATAACATGTACTATTGAGTGCGCGTAATTTTAAAGTCAATGCAATCGATTTATATTTTCGAGGCGTCACGACGCTCAGCTCTTAGTAGGCGTTGAATTTTCGAAAAAAATCTACCTAACACCATACATTGACTACTTTTTACAGAAATTAAATATTTTCATTCGTTTTCGAGATATTGGCGTGCGGACTTTTAAGTGAAAAACTCTGTATAGCTACTATATGACTAGATAACTTCAAAAAGTTTTCAACTCCAAGTAAGTTAACCAAATAATACTAGTTCGTCACACCAGTCTTGTTTGTATGGTAAAACTTCTTGTTAGGCTGAAGATGGTCTTTATTGAGACCGAAACATGTCCCTGATTGTTCAACAGCGTCATTAAATTGTGTGGAAATGTCTTCGAGCTTTCCTCCCTTCCTTTGATATAAAGGTGAGTTTACACATTCCATAAAACATAGTTCAATGACATAGTCTAAGTCTAGATAGTCTTAAGATGGCAACACTGAGGAGAAAGGTAGAAAAAGAGAAAAACTTTCCTCTCACTCTCATAAACGCACATGCCAACAATCATGCCGAGGACATTTTATACAAAAGACGGTTATAAGATTGGGACACTCAGTAGATGCATTTGGTCACCTCTGTGACCCAAGAAGCAACCTTTGAAAATGTGGCAAGTAACGTGACATTTTTTCATTGCTGACGTCAATTCGCTATCAGTACGTGTTTTTTATTTAGAAATTGTCGTCACAATAATTGATATGGAAATCCGCATAAGTCACGTTCAGTTGTGGCAGTTCCGTAATTCAGGTATGAATGATCACGTTAATTTACAAATATTTTTGTGACGTCGACTATGTACAGGGTGATTCAAACTTCCCGCTCTTCGCTCATAACAGGAAAAGTGAAACTGCAAATGCAAATTCGGCAGAGGGGATTTGAATAGCTGTGTGTAATAGTATATTACATAACAAGAGTTGTAAAACGCATATTACGCACGAAGTGGAGAGAGTTACACACGATGCCGCATAGCGGCGAGTGTGTAACTCCACAAGTGCGTGATTGCTTCACAACTCGAGAATTGTACTATACTTTTTCTACGACTACACTATATTTTCTTCCGGATAGTGCAGATATTGTATTAAGGCACAAATAACGAATACCAATATAAAACGTCTCCCGTCACTAAGCCAGCTGCATGAAAAGTTACAAATCACAATTCTTCTGTTTGTTAATGGATACATTGCATACCGAGACATTTTCCTCAATTCGAACTGAAAAGGAGCCGTTTTTCATATCTAAACAGCTTCATTAATAGGTAGCCAAAAACACATTGTATAAAAATTAGCATTCCTAATGGTTATTTATTTGTAACAGTGCAGCACGAGAGATTCTGTAATCGTTATTAAAAATAATAGAAAAAAGTTCTTCAAATGCGCTCTGAACCACCGACCTTTGGGTTCGGAGCCAGCGTTTCCAACAACTGAGTTATCACCATTTCTCCTTATTAGTAGATATTTTATAAATATAATATTGAAGATGGATCTTTTTTAATAACTCCTGTTATTTGAAGAAAAACGAATTCATCAATTCAGTGTTGAGTATATATGTTATTTGGAAAATTACCTTCAACAGGAGCATTCTGCAGAAAGTAATTGATCTGTTCAGCATTGAGTATTTTTGATTTTTCACTTCGAAATTCATCCTTCCCTTTTGAGGAAATGGGATATGTTGCATTATTAATATTGTGATTGATATTTATAGTGTTGATCGTATCATGGAATATATCGACCAGAGTGATGATGATTTCATGAAGTTTGGTAATTCTAATTCTCCAGTCCAGGAATTTTTGAAGTGCTATTTCGTATCATTTACGAGACTTAGCGGGTAGCAACTCATTTTTTACCATTCTAGCTTTTTCCAACATTTCTGGTGGTGTTGAAATAATCTGCTCATCGTCATCGCTTGACATCATTTTTTTAAACTGAAATTGAGGATTCTCAATAGAAAATAATCATATTTTCAAAAAATATAACTTTCCTGATGCTTTCGGTTTCGGTGCATAGCTGGATTGATTGATAAAAAGATAAGTATCTACCCACCTAGCTAGTGACATTAATGAAATTGTTAATTGTTATTGACACATCGCCTAAGCAACAAAACAAAGTCATCTATGTGTACAATATCCATCACTTACAGTAGTAGTCGTAGGAAAAGTATATTTTTTCTTACTTAATTATAGTTCAACTCTTTTAAAAATGGCGGAAATGACGTCAGAAAAGTTATTCCTCCCACAAAGTCACCATTTTTTTCTCATATTCTGAAAAAACATATTTTTTTAACATTTTTCATCCCAAAACTTTTTTTCTATCTTCATCAAGTTGATAGCTGGGGGACTCCAAAGTTGGCATTTTCAAATAAATCTCTATGACCCCGCCGTACTAAAAATCAAGTCTGTTGGACTGTTTAATTGTTTTGTAAGCAATTTAATACATTTTGTTTTATTTGAAACTTGAAACCGATTGAAGCTCAAAACCGGCCGACTTGATTTTTGTTACGCCGGGGTCAGGTGAGATTAGTTGAAAAATGCTAACTTTAGAGTCCCATAGCTATCAACCAAATGAAGATAGAAAAAAAATAGCCTGGATGAAAGTCGTTTAAAAAAATATGTTCTTTCAGAACATGAGAAAAAATTGTGTCTGTGGGAGAATAATTTTCAAATAATTCTTGACCCCGCCTTAATAAAAATCTAGCCGGCCGATTTTTAGCTTCAATCGGTTTCAAATGAATGCGAAATGTATCAAATTTATCAAATTGCTCACAAAACAATTTATTTTTCCGGCAGCCTCGATTTTAATCACGGCGGGGTCATTTGAGGTTTATTTGAGAATGCCAACTTTGGAGTCCCACAGCTATCAACTTGATGAAGATAGAAAAAAAGTTTTGAGACGAAAGATGTTAAAAATGATATGTTTTTTCAGAATATGGAAAAAAATGGTGACTTTGTGGAGAAAATAACTTTTCTGACGTCATTTCCGCCATTTTGAAAAGAGTTGAAATATGTTTGAATAAGAAAAAATACGCCTTACACACAGCTATTCAAATTCCCTCTGCCAAATTTGCATTTTCAGTTTTACTTTTCCTGTTATGATCGAAGAGCGGGGTGTTTGAATCACCCTGTACAAGGTGGCAAACTAAGAATGCGAGGTATTGTATCTGGGAAACTATCCATCGTAGTGACTCGCTACAAAAAAAAATATTACAAAAACGGCCAAGAGAAAAAGCTGGAAAATATTCTCAAGGTTCTGAAATGGCCGCTAGGTGGCGTAACTTCAATCTCGAATCTAATAAAGTAATGTTTCTGTGAATTTCACTATATTGACCTAACAAAAAAATACATGATCTTCAAAGTTAGGGATTATATAAACCTTTCTTGTTCGACAAACGTTGCTGTATCTTTAGAAGTAAAGTGGTGGGGGGTGTTCGAATGTTTTCGTGAAAAACACCCTGTATCTTCGAAATGGCTGAGTCGATTCCAACAAACTTGGGCTAGTTGAAAAGAGCTGTTCTTGTGCTTCAGCTATTATAATATTCGAAGTTTTGTTAGTTTCACATGTAACCGCTAGAGGGATTTTTCGAAATTCCAACAGAAATGATTTTTTGTCATGAAAGAGTTGCTTAATGATGCCTTAACAAGCTCGTGAAAACCGCATCTCGATATCTTGTTCTTAACCATAGATTAAAAAGACCTTCCTAGCCTCAAAATTAGGCCGAAGAAAATTTTATACAGATCGGCAACGCCGCAGCGCTGAAAATATTTTCAGAATGATTGAGCAGAACTATTACCCAAGGCATTAAATTTTCAAAATAAGCCAATATTCCGTTCTCCAGAAACGTTGGTAATAGGCCATCGAGTTTGGGACACCCTTTATATACAAGTGGAGTTTGAAGAAAGAAGTTATCATTTGTATACATACAAATGATGATAATAGGTGTACCTATTGAAAACGCCAATTTTATGACGTTGCAGTGACGTATATACAGGGTGTATCTGAATAACACCGAAAAAATTCAAGGAGTGTTTCCTTAAAATATTTAAGGAAATGAAGTTCATATAAACATGTATCCTAACTTGCTTCGTTTTCGAGAGACAGGGTATTAATATTCTCATGAAAAATACATATTTTTCAATGTAGCCCTTCATAGCTCATTTCTGAGACGTCATTTTGACGTCTTATGCCTGTGACATTTTGACGTCTTTTCGAGAGCTTCAAGACGACCAAATTAGGACGTCCCTCGGACGTCTCTGTGCTACCTGGAATGTAGACAATGGATAAAGACATTCGTATAGGGAATTTCATGTTGTTCAATTTTGCATACATTCATTTTTCTGGTAGAGATCGCGATCTGCGAATTATTCAAGAACAAACAAGTTGAAAAAATTACCTTCAAACGTTCCCCTGCTGCCCCGCTCATCCCCTACGGATCATCAGGGCTTTTAGTATGTTGTTCTATCTACAAGAATCTGCGACTACACGATTCCTAGTTTTTGTTCGTTTACTGAACTCTAATTACTACTGCATGATAGGATATTAAAAAATGGGGGTATTGGTAGGTATACTTTATTAACCTATATCACTGTTTACAATATCTCACTAGACATATGCACTACCTCTCAAGGTGTTAGGGTTCGTCGCCCTTGGATGCAATTAAAGCATGACATCTCGGCGATACCAGATCGTTAGTAACTTTTTCAACGCGGCACCGGAAGCCCTTCCGTCTCAAATGCTCGACCCTATCCAGAAGAACGACGTTCTCACAGACGCCTTGGATCGACGCCTGCATACCCGTCAATACTTCCACCAAGCGACAATTGCCTTTCTGCTCTTGCCACTTTTCGAGCATTTTCCTTCTGAATCGCTCGTCATTGACGTGGGGGTGATCTTTTTCAGGGCCGTCGCGCTCCAATCTGTGGCTGTGTTCGAGGTCGGTCAAGTAGGCTGCGAAATCCTCATCGGGATCCGGATGGCGGGATTTAGAAGATTTACGCTTCAGCCTGGTGACTCGACAATTTTCTGGAAAATGAGAAGGTGTCATTTTTGAAATGGGAATAATCATACTCGAATTGGGACAAATGAGATTCGGTATGAGTTCAATGAATCCAAATTAAAAATGAGCAAATGGAGGAGGAGGAGATTTTTTTTTTAACGCTTGGAGCGCACGAGAGGGAATCCCTATAGTGTGCTCTACTTATATACAATGTACCAATAACCACCAATGATATTGAATCTGCTCACCGAGTGGCGCCACATCCATAATATCAACAGAAATAATCTGGAAAATATTGTGGTCAAACTGAAGAACAAACTAATGGAAGTTGTGTGCAAAGACAATGGAACCAAATCAACAACTCGCTTATTTCATAATGGAGACGAAAAGCCAATTTTCGTCAATGATAACATCTATCACCATGCTACAAGAAGCACGCGAGATCTCTCTCGCTCCAAGAATTACGAATACACCTGGGTAAAGGATGGCAAATCTTCATGGAAAATCTGATGATAACCAGGTGATTCATATAAAGAGTGAAGATATACTCAATAGACTTATATAATATTTTGGTTGCAATGAGGTATGTGAATATTCGTCTGAATGGCTTCAATAATGAAGCAATGGGCGAGTGGACTTATAATGAATTATTGGCATTCAATTACTTCACTTTGTCGTTAGGGACCTAAATTAATTTTTGCAACACTTCTCACACTTTTTTATGTAAATAATGAGTGTACCTATGCGTTGTTCGAAATTGTTGAATTTCGGTGCTCATTTCAAACGTACCGTCATGGCCACCATTTGGCGATACGTCGGATAAATCGTGACGTCAGCTTTCACGCTGTTTCGTTATTGGTCAGATAGTCTTCCATTCCCAATCACGAAGCAAGGTTGTCAAGACACCAATTATATACAGTCTGTCCAAGATAAGGTTGAACAGCATGGGGATCTCGGAATCGGTAGGAGATACGAAGTCGCTTAAATGGGGAAAAAGTTGCGCATTCGGAGGCTCATATCAAGAGCCTTCGAAAATTTTGAAAATTATTTTTAGTTTCTGAGTCATATCGGAAAAAGTGAATTTTTGGAATTTCTATTTTATTTTTTTTCTCCGTTATTATCAGAGATACAGAAAAACTGAAAATACTTTTTCATTGCAACTTTTGATGAGGTTTAACGTGGTGATACCGATTTTTTTATGCGACGTTTCGTATTCGTGCAACCATCATCAACTTTTGTTTTTTAAATACGGTCCTGATAATTTTTTCACAGATTCTGAAAGGTTTTTTTATTCTGAATTCAACAATGTACTATACAAGGTGATTCGAATGTGTTTCGACCTATTTCTATCCATCATCAATGTTTTTTCGAACTTCCAAAAGAAAAAAAGCCATCAGTTCCACTTATTTCTTATCATTTAGTGTCAAACTTGATGGATTAGTTATTCAATACTGAAAAGTGAATAAAAAATATTTCACTACATCATTCGATCAATGCAGCGTTTAAAATTGTTGATGAATTCTTACACGAATTACTTTAACAACTTAACTTTGACAATACCTACAGAGACATTCATAACAAATGTTCAAAATGATAACCATTATTTTCTGAACAAAGATATCCTCTTCTCACAGTTGTTTCTAAGACATTGCTAAGCATTTCTGGGGTTATTCTATTGAATGCTTCGAAGACACTGTCCCTTAGTTCTTCTTCATCCTCAAAGTTATTTCCGTGTACAAAGTTCGATATATCCCCTAAGAAAAAATCCAGCTGTGTTAAATCAGGCGACCGCGCCGGCCAAGGGATAAAAACGCACGGACTTCTCTGGAATTATGTACCGGAGCGCCATCTTGTTGAAACCAACAGAGTTCTGAACTTCCGCAATCGGTAAATCATCCAGAGCTTCCTCAAGATGATTCTCAAGCGAATTTCTATAACGTTCGGAAGTCTGTGTTTCATGGTAAATAGAAGGAACAATAATTCGTGTACCAAATATTGCAACCCACATATTAAAGCCGAAACGGTGTTGGTGTCTCGCTGTAATGTATAAATGTTCATTTTCTCGTGAACAATAATGTGTATTTCTTCTATCGAAGCTACCATGATTAGTGACCATGCTTTCATCAGTCCAGATGATTGTTCGAAAGAAATCTGCAAAATTTTAACATTTCCTGGTATACCACTCACAGGATGTCTTGCGCCTTTCGTCATCTCCTGGTTTTAGCGCTTGACATATTCTGAATTTGTATGGATGGAATTTTTGTTTCCGCAAAATGAAATGGGTTGTTGATTGAAACCAGTTGATGGGGTATCAGTGTGTTGACTAATTATCCTTCAAAATAAGTGGAACTGATGGCATTTTTCCTTTGGAGTTTCGAAAAAACATTGATGATGGATGGAAATAGGTCGAAACACAAATGAACCACCTTGTATAATACATGGTTGAATTCAGAATAAAAAAACCTTTTAGAATCTGTGAAAAAATTATCAGGACCGTATTTAAAAAACAAAAGTTGATGATGGTTCCACGAATACGAAACGTCGCATGAAAAAATCGGTATCACCACGTTGACCGTCATCAAAAGTTGATATGAAAAAGTATTCTCAGTTTTGCTGTATCTCTAATAATAACGGAGAAAAAAAATAAAATAGAAATTCCAAAAATTCACTTTTTTCGATATAACTCAAAAACTAAAAATAATTTTGAAAATTTTCGAAGGCTCTTGATATGAGCCTCCGAATGCGCAACTTTTTCCCCATTCAACCGATTTCGTATCTCTTACCGTTTTCGAGATCCCCATGCTGTTCAACCTTATCTTGGACAGACTGTATATAGTTATCAAACAAATGTAAGAGTCCTGCCGTTGAATAAAACATAATAGGACCCGTGATATTATAGTTCATTCTTGACATTTTCGAGCAACCAGCATGTCCAAATAATACTCCATTGCAAAATATCATGTAACTGTTGGGACTTGACAACATTGTGATGAATGCTGAGAAGGAACAAGACCACGCCCACAAGTCGTGCGCGCCGTGTTGTCACTTTCACCGCTTCAAATGTCCTCTAGTGTGAATTAATATAATTACTATTTACACAAATGTATTATAAGCAATAAGCCACAAATCATGACGAGAAATTTTGAGATAATTGATTTTGTATTGCTAAATAGGAATATTGCCAATACAAAATTGCGGGTAATGTTTGAATAACTATAATATTTTTTGAAGTTCCCAATTGTATTTCAACACATGGCAACTGTGCTATGGTCTGCCCCTACTTACAAAATCGTGACGTCAGTTTTCACTCGCGGTAAATTTCTATCCGTTTGAAAATAACCGTGGCATTATTGATGATTTTAGCACCTAAAAAATCAGAATGCACGTGGACTTCACACAAAAACAGACATTTTTGAATCGGCATATAGCCTGGAATACGATTTACTATGTACATCGAACACCCACTTTCGTTGATGTTGATGCTATGTATCATGTATCACAGGAACGTGACTGAAAGAGAGTGTCTTCAATGCTGGGCTATTTCCTGCAGGCTACAACACTGTTACAGGAGCGACCGTGATGAAACTAGGAGCAGCACTCAGCAGCAGCAGAGTTGACGGTTGACGATATTTATGTACGGGATATAGTTTCATGACGAATGCTGCGAATGATTCGTCTTCTATATATACTAATATTATTGAGGATCTGTGGGTATCCGTTATCCATTGAACAATTTGATTTGCTCCTTTCAATATTTGGAGACCATTATGAAAAAAATGTTGAAAGTGAAATAAATATATAATTATCGGAGATTTCAATCTATCAAATAATAATTGGGAATTTTATATGGCCTTAGAATCCTTCAGACCAATTAACGCCGCGGATGCCCTGAGAGATGATGTTGATAATGATTCTTTGTTAAACCTGAAACAGCACTGCAACGTTCATATTTCAATAGGAAAAATATTGTATCTATTTTTATCATCTTCTTGCTCTATCGAAGTTGATACCCAAGGCTGTGATCAGCCTTATGTGGAAGAAGATATACTGTTTAAGATATCAACTTACAAGTCACTGGTGTTAAACTGCTTCCCAGTAAGTCCTATATAAAACTCAAGTTTTTTTATGTCGACTAAAATGTAATTGAAGCTCAACTAGGAGAGTACTCGCGGGTTGAAATCTTCAACGGTCTAAACACAGAGCAGAGTGTGAAAAATTGTATTCTATAGCCAATGGACTGATAGAGGATAATATTCCTAAAACTGTTGAAAAGAATGAAGATCCCAGTATGGTTTGTTGAGGCAACGATCATGACTATTAGACAAAGAGAAAAGTTGCAGAAGAAAAGTGGATAAATCACAAGAATCATTATGAAAACTTTTCCAATTTGCCTGAAATTCTGAAAAAAAGATCAAAGAAGGTTACCTCAGTTACCTAAGTTCAAAAAATAGAAAATAATATAATATCGAATTCCAAATAGTTTTGGTCCAATTTGGTTAATGAAATATAGACTAATAAAAAATAATATGTCGATTGCTGCGCGTACATGGTCCTGAATGACAGATAATGATAGTATATTATTATGTGAATTATTTTCTGAATACTTCAATATAGTGTCTTTGAACCTAACGTGTCGCCTTCTCCAGCTCAAAGTGATGTACATAATTCTAACAATTTTAAGGTGTACTATATAACTGCTAGGGAATTTTTGCGTCTATTTGTTGAATCGCCTAATTCTCCAGAATGAAATGAAATTGAAAAAATACTATAGGTATGTCAACCCAACCGTGAAACACACTAATCACCAGGTAAATGTTTGTCATGGTTACTCTTATATCACTAAACTTTACAGAGTTCTATATGGAATAGCTCCATTATCCTTATTCATAACTCTTTTACTAATCTCAAATATTACTATTACTTTTACTATTATCAGATATATCTAGGCTTTCATATGCATTAGATGCATTAGAATATGGAAGTCTAGAGAACTTCTCCGTACACACTTATTATATAGAAGGTATAG